CACATTGTGTTCTCTGTGATGAACATCTCAGCTCTGCTCATGTATGGATTTGTGATTATCAGCTGATGGGGAGAAAGCTGAGGTGCCCCTCTTCATCCTTTCTGATCAGTCCCCCTCCTTCACTGAGGAGTTTGGCACGAGGTTCATGGTCTTCTTATTCCTGTGCTAATGCAGGGGTGAAAGGATAGGGTAGTGCCACCTTCCTTCACCCTGTACATGGGTTCACAGTGCTCTAGTCCTAAGAGAACCTGCCAGGGCACTTCCCCCTGATTCTCAGCATAGGTCTCTGACAGTTGCTTCTTGGACTTCCCCTCCTCCGGGTACCTTGTGAGTGTTGTCATTCTTCTGTATTTCTTTGTTGGCTCATGGTTTCGCTCTTTTCTCTCAGCTGAAACAGTAGCAGTCAGTCTGTAATTTTATGCAGCCTCTCTTATGCTGTTGACCTTCATGTTCTGTTTCTAGTCCTGAGCTTCAGATATTTCTGCCTGCAAGTCTCATAGGCAGCCTAAGTTTGCCTAAAATGGATCCCCTCCTTCTCTAATCCTGTCTTCTGTGATCTCAGTCTTGGCTAATTTGCTACCATTCATCCACACATTGGCCCAAGCCAAAAATTTGGATGGAAAGCAGAACTCATAACGTGGCCATCGCACTCGAGTCCCCCTGGATCACCCTGTATCCGCTGCTTAGTCTTATCTACTTGGAGCACAAAGCAAGGCCCAGCATCCTCCACTGTCTTCTGAGCACTTAGATCTGAGCAAGAGGGCTGCCCCCTTGCTTCCGTGTAGCCAGCCAGCATATGTGCAGGGCCAAGCATAGAGGGAGGAGGTGGTGGGACATGGTCTGCCTAACTAGAGGACAGTGTGTGGGCTGGAACTGCCATTTGAAGATGTTGACAGTTGTGTATCATAGGCCAGAAAAGCACTGTTCTGTGACTGTAAAGCAAGAGGAGGAAACCGATGCTTCTGAGGGCAAGCCTGATGAGATAACATGCCTGTGTATGGGGCTCAGGTTAGCCAGTACTGAGGTCTCCTGTTGCTGGGCATCCAGCTGGGCGCTACGGCTGTGGCTCCTGCCTCCTGCAGCCCTGTCAAGGCCAAGGCCTTCCCTGTCAGCACTTGCTCCAGCCTGCTCATTGGAGCTGTGTTCTGGGTGGGTGTATAGAATACTAAGCTCCTACTTGGGGCATCAGGGAGCTCTCTCTAACTAGCAATTTCTTCTGCACCTAGGGAGAGCCTGCTGCTAAAAAGGCCCGGTCAAATCCTCAGGTGTACATGGACATTAAGATTGGGAACAAGCCGGCCGGCCGCATCCAGATGCTCCTGCGTTCCGACGTTGTGCCCATGACAGCAGGTGAGCGGGACGCTGGTGGCTGAGCAGTGAGCCTTTCCCAGGTGCTTGCCACTTTACTTCTTGTGCCCTCAATATTGCTTCTGACCTAAGTTGATTTGAAGCATCTCAGATCCTGGGATCTAGTAACAGATGAGTCAGAACAGGTGTTTTTGAAGCTTTATAAGTGCTGACTTACTACCTTTTAATAATCATTTTTTAAAAATACAAGTAAATATTATATTCTTTTTTAAAAAAAAGAATACCATACACATATATTCCAATAATAATTAAGACAATAAACTGAAAACTTAAGTTGTTTTTCCCCCTCAACATCCAGTCCTAAATTCTAGAAGTAGCTAGTGCTTTTACTGAGTATTCTTTGTAACTTATTAAATATTGACTCTATTTATTCTCTTTTTAATCTAAATTTTATTATTATCTAGACATATAAAGAGTCAATTCAACTTCACAAAGCTTGTTTTGGAAAAACAGTCGTCCCCTGGTGTGTCCCTATGCCCTGCTGCCAGCGCCATTTGCTGTTCCTCCGAGGAGCCGATTTCAACTCTTAGGTCTTTTGATTTTTATTTCCGTGTTGATAGATAACAGGTTTATATTTCTACTTGCTGTTTTCCGTTTTAAGCATTATCTTCTGATTTTCTACTTCAGAGGACGAGGAATTAGTTTTTAAAATTCCCCTTCTCTGGCCCCTCATCTTCCTTGTATAGGTACTATAATTTTTGTTAGGTCCTAAATTATTTTAACAATGTAGACACCATGTGATAACTTCCTTTCATGCACAGCATTTTGTTTTGCCTGGAATTGATAATTGCCTTGTTTGTGCAGTTTTCGATGTAATCAATCCTGATTTTCTCCCAGATTATCCTGCTGGGGCCTTTGCATCCAGGTGTCTGCATCTTGTTAGGCAGAGATGAGGGCAGGGCTGAATGCCACAACATTCGGTATATCAACTTTCATGTAATCTCCACTTGTCGTTATATACCTCAGCCCTCACTACATGTAGGATATCCTAGTGCAAAGAGCCCCTGCTTTAACCTACCAAAGACTAGACCCCCAGCTGGCTACCAGGTGGAGGAGGGTGGCCCCCAGCTGCAGAGTCAGGGAGAGGAGCCCAAGGATTAACCACTTTCTTATACAGGCTTTCAGCCAAACTTACTATCTCCAGGATTACCTGCACCTGTTTCTCTGAGATTTTGGAGTGCAAACTGAGTTGCTTCTTGGCTTTTACCAGCTTAAGATTCAGCTTTCTTGGGACTGCTTTATCATTTAGGGCTCATCTATTTGTTTTCTAACTTCAGAAATTTTTGTTGCTATTGTCTCTTCCTCCCCGCTTTTTAAGTTTTAAAGTGTACAGTTTGTTAGCATTAATTATGTTCACACTATCACTGTTTGAAATTTTTTAATCACCCTAAACAAAGCCTCTTATTTTATTCTTTGAGATGGAGTCTCACTCTGTTACCCAGGCTGGAGTGCAATGGCACGATCTCAGCTCACTGCAGCCTCTACCTCCCAGGTTCAAGCGATTCTCCTGCCTCAGCCTCCTGAGTAGGTGGGATTACAGGCATACACCACCATGCCTGGCTAATTTTTGTCTTTTTAGTAGAGACGGGGTTTCACCATGTTTGTCAGGCTGGTCTCAAACTCCTGACTTGTGATCTGCTTCCTTGGCCTCCCAAAGTGCTGGGATTACAGGCATTAGCCACGGTGCCCAGCCCAAAACCTCTTATTATTAGAGGTACCTATTAAACAATAACTCCCCATTTTCATCTCCCCTTAGCTTCTGATAACCTCTAATCTTTGTGTCTATGAATTGGCCTATCCTAGATTTTCCAAATAAGTGGAATCATACAATAGTTATCCTTTTTCATGTCTTATTTTGCATAACATAATGGTTTCAAGGTTCATCCATTACCATTTATCAGTGCTGCATACCTTTTTATCGCTGAATAATAATTCTGTTATATTTGGAATAAATATCTTGTTTACTCATTTATTGATTGATACTTGCACATTGTTTTCATCTTTTGACTATTGTAAATAATGCCTGTGTGAATATCCACATATAAGTATATGTTTAAATCCCTGTTTTCAATTACTTTAGATATATATGCCTAGGAGTAGAAATGCTTAGTCATATGCTAACTCTATTATTTAACTTTTTGTGGAAATGCCAAACTATTTTCCCTAGTGGCTGGGTTATTTTACACTTCTACTAGCAGTGTATGAGTGTTTCAACTTTTTTCACATCTTTTTTTTTTTTTCTGAGACGGAGTCTTGCACTGTCGCCCAGGCTAGAGTACAGTGATGCAATACTGGCTCACTACAACCTCCGCCTTCTGGGTTCAAGTGATTCTCGTGCCTCAGCCTCCCAAGTAGCTGAGATTAAAGGCGCCTGCCACCATGCCCAGCTAATTTTTTGTTTTTAGTAGAAATGAGGTTTCACCATCTTTGCCAGGCTGGTCTCACACTCCTGACCTCGTGATCCACCTGCCTCAGCCTCCCAAAGTGCTGGGATTACAGGTGTGAGCCACATGCTCGGCCAACATCTTCTCTTAACAGTTGTGAAATGGTATCTCATTGTAGTTTTTTTTTTTTCTTTTATTTTCCATTTATTTTCGTTTATTTTCATTGCAGTTTTTATTTCCTACTGACTAATGATTTTGAACATGTTTTCATGTGGTTGGCCATTTGTGTATCTTCTTTGGAGAAATATCTCTTCAAATCTTTGGCTCATTTATTAACTGGATTGTTTGTTTTTTTGTTTTTGTTTTTTTTTTTTGAGAGACAGGGTCTTGCTCTGTCTCCCAGGCTGGAGTGCAGTGTCGAGGTCATGGCTTACTATAGCTTTGAACCCTTGACCTCCAGTGATCCTCCTTCCTTGGCCTCCCAAAGCACTGGGATTACAGCATGCCTGGCCTTTTTGTTGTTGAATTATAAGAGTTCATTATATATTTTGGATATTAAACCCTTATTAAATGTGATTGCAAATAAGCATTCTTCCATTCTGTGGGTTGCTTTGCCCTCTACTGGTGTAGTTCTTTGATGCATGTCTTAAAATTCGATAAAATCTGATTATCTATTTTTTCTTTTACCTATGCTTTTGGTGTGATATTTAAGAAACCATTGCCAAATCCAGAGTCATGAAGATTTGCCAATATGTTTTCTTCTAAGATCCATAGTTTTTTCTTTTAAAGAATCAGTTTGCTACCAATTTAGTGTGGTTTTGGAAGGGAACAGAGCTAGTATATGTATATTCAGTCCCCTTTTATCAGAATCTCCTATAGTAGTAGGAGATTCTGTCTCCTGCAGAGTAGTGGCTCACACCTGTAAACCTAGCACTTTGGGAGGCTGAGGTGGGTGGATCATCTGAGGTCAGACCAACATGGTAAAACCCCGTCTCTACTGAAAATATAGAATTAGCCAGGTGTATGGCACACACCCGTAGTCCCAGCTACTCGGGAGGCTGAGGCAGGGGAATGGCTTGAGCCAGGAGGTGGAGGCTGCAGTGAACTGAGATTGCACCATTGCACTCCAGCCTAGGCAACAAGAGTCAACTGTGTCTCAAAACAAAAGAATCCCTTTTGGTCCTTACGAGGTTAGTACTGCAAGGGCATATTATAATGAGTGTCTCTTATTTTATTTATTTATTTATTTATTTATTTTTTGCCGGTACAGATATTTTATTTTCTCAGAGCACACATTGGGCCTAGGCTACGGCTGCCCCCATAGCTCCCCTCTTGTCACAAGATGCAAATGTCACTTCTGGGGCACAGTTATCTCCAGCTGGGGGTATAAGCAAAGGCCACTGTGTAAGGAGGCAAAGCTCACCCTTACTGTCTGAAGGATCTCCAACAAGCATATTCTGGATAGAGCTCTGGCAGGGAGCTTTCTACAAGGTCTCACTGGAGCTGAGGCTTGACGCCAGGTCCAAGTGCAGGCTTCCTTCCCATCACAGCCTCTGAGCCTTCCTGGGACAGCAGCCGTTGTGCGGGATGGGGGTGTTGTCTGTGATTAAGATCACTTCCAGGCCCCCATGGTCAGTCCACTGATGGCAGACAAGCGTCCTGGCCCCAGGCCTTTCACCACAACTCGGATGTGGGTCACACCCTTTTGGATAGCTTTCGCCGCTGCGGCTATGCCTGCTGTCTGTGCTGTGATGCTTGTGCCCTTCCTGGCATTCCAAAATCCCTCTGTGCCACAGGAAGCATGGCCAAGGGGCTGGTTACTGGCAGAGACTACCTGGATCTGTGTGTTGTTGTAGGATGCTTTAATGTGTGTGATTGGGATCTCCTCAAACTTCTTTCCTGCCCACTTCAGAGAGCTCTCCTCTCCTGGAATAGGAGGGTAAATGCTGAAGCTGGTGTGTCTGGGAGCTGCCGTCTTCTCTTCAACTTCCTGCTTGACCGCAGTGTCTTGCAGCTGCCGGGCGCCTGTGTGGATGATCCGGGCCGGCGTCCTGACCATGACCCCAGTTGTCTGGGGGCCAAGTCCACAGGAGACACGACCCCGCGTTTCTTACAGCCTGCATGACTTGAATTGACCCCCGAGTGTCTCTTATTTTAAAACAAAAATATGAACATTAAACAAAACAGTTTTTTGAGGTTTTGTTCTAGTTTTTAACCTCAGCGCTCTTTCCTTTTTCAATTCCAGAGAATTTCCGCTGCCTCTGCACCCATGAAAAGGGCTTTGGCTTTAAGGGAAGCAGCTTCCACCGCATCATCCCCCAGTTCATGTGCCAGGGCGGTGATTTCACAAACCACAATGGTACTGGAGGCAAGTCCATCTATGGGAAGAAATTCGATGATGAAAACTTTATCCTCAAGCACACGGGACCAGGTAGGAGCCAGTCAGCATGTGGTGGTGAGGGAGGCTGGGCGAGGGTGGGATGGCCATGCAGGATGGAAGGGCGGGCTGTGGTTCTGGCTGAGGGACGAAGAGTCTGGAGGAGACACAGCCACCAGACACCGGAGAAACGTGCAGCCTCGCTAGGGTGGCATCAGCTTGCTTACATTCAGGTACTGTCCATCCCCAGCCGTGTCCGCACTTTCTCTTAACCCAGCTTGGATTCTTTGGTCTGCCGTTGCATGCTCTTATGCCCTCAACCTCACTGCTCTCCCTGCCTCAACCATCAGATTTACTTAGTAAAATCTCAGTGGTTAGTCCCGCACCAACTAGAGAAGAAACACAGAATTGTACTGAATGATCCCATTTGAAATTTATAACTATAGTTCTTAAGGGGGCCCTGGCCAACCTCACCAGATTTCCCTACTTGATGCTCAGTCCCAATCAGAGATGATGTGTCCACGCCTGTCTTCACTCCTGAAGCCCTCATATCATCACCTTCCTGCTTCATCTAATGCTTCACCTCCTGCATCTCTCTACTCATGCATGCTCTGACTTTCTTCCAATTACAGGGGATGAGCTGTCTCTCCTGAGGCCAGCCCCTCCACCTGTGGACTGGATCTTGTCCCTCTCCTCTACTTAGGAACATGTCTTCTAAAGTTGTCCCCCTCTTGTAATCCATATCCTCTGCTCTGCTAGATCAGTCCATTAGCATGAAAGCGTGCAGTTAACAACCTTTAAAAGAATCTTTGTCCTTCGACCCTTGTTCCCTCTCCAGCTATCACCATGCCTCTGGTCCCCCTGTTAGCATAACTTCTTGAAAACATGGTACAGACTTGCTGCCTTCGCATTTTCTGTAAGCCTTTCCAGCCAGACTTCTAGTCCCATCTCACCATTGAAACCACTCTTGCCAAAGGTACCAGTAGCAAGAGTGGTGATCATCTTATCCCACCTCCCAGACTTTATCTCACCTCTCAGGAGCATTTCATACTACAGGTTGAGTGTCGCTTTCCTGAAATGTTGGGACCAGAAGTATTTTGGATTTTGGAATATTTGCATTATACTTACCAGCTGAGCATCCCAAATCTGAAAATCTCAAATCTGAAATGTGCCAATGAGCATTTCCTTTGAACATCATGTCAGTGCTCAGGAAGTCAGATTTTGGAGCATTTTGGATTTTGGATTTTCACATTTGGGATGCTCAGCTTGTATTAGCTCTGTGTTCCTTGACTTTTCACTTGGCTGGCAGGACTCCTTCCTCTTCTCGTCCCCTTTTACCTAGTTGGCTGCTTTATCTGTCTTTGCTATCTCCTTCTTTTCCTGACCCCTAAACACTGAAGTGCCTCAGAGCCCAGTCTTTTGTTCTCCACAAGCCTGTTACCCACTGCTCCCTTTTTCTAACTGGTGGTTTGTAGGGCCCTTCTTTACCATGCTGAACTGACATGCATAGATGACCCACATCGTTATTTTAAAAATCAATATTCTTCTGTAACTCTAATAGGGAAGAACATCAAAGGAAATAAACAAATTTGTGTAATAAGTAAATATGTTTCTAGATGTATGTGCTTAAGCACAGCTGTGTCAGAACACAAAGTGACTTATTCAGGTATCTGCACCTGTACTCAGATGCAGCAGTTAGAAATGCAGACGGGAGTGTCACCTGGCAACGTGGATACCAGGAGCAGTGATGCTGTTGGTGATATGGCTTTGTGAAATGGTAGATAAAGTTGATTAGGTTCCAAAGTAAAGAACAGTCTGTTGATTTATATAGTAGTTACATTCCTAGAAGATTCCATACAAAACCAAAAAACTCTAAAACTTTGGGCTTATATGTATAATGGAATTATGTTTTTGGTGCAGATAACTGTAAACACATTTTTTACCTGTACCAGTATCTGGCAGGACATTCATTGTTTTGATGTTGTTGTTGTTGTTGTTATTGTTGTTTGGTTTTTGTTTTTTGAGACAGGGTCTCTTTCTATGCCTAGGTTGGAGTGCAGTGGTGCAGGATGGCTCACTGCAGCCTCAACCTCCTTAGCTCAAGCAGTCCTCCTGCCTCAGCCTCCCAAGTAGCTGGGATGACAGTTGCATGCCAACCATAATGCCCAGCTAATTTTTAAGTTTTTTGTAGAGACAAGTTTCATTATATTGCCCAGGCTAGTCTAGAATTCTTAGCTTCAAGTGATCCTCCCACCTCAGCCTCCCAAAGTGCTGGGATTACAGGCATGAGCCACTGCACCCAGCCCCTAGCAGGATGTTTGAAAGACCAAGAGGATATGAGACACTTCATTGTGCCAGACATTGCAGAACACCTAGCATTCCAAGCCCCTACCTGCTAAATGCCAGTGGCACCCCACAGTATTTCTGACAGTCAAAAACACTTTCAAGCCGGGTGTGGTGGCTCATGCCTGAACTCTCAACATTTTGGGAGGCTGAAGTGGCAGCCCAAAGCCAAAGTATCATGTGAGTTCAGGAGTTCAAGACCAGCCTGGATAACATAGTAAGACCCTGTCTCTACCAAAAAAAGAATTAAAAAATTAGCAAAGTGTGGTGGTGCATACCTGTAGTCCCAGCTACTTGGGAGGCTGAGGCGAGAGGATTTCTTGTACCCCAGAGATTGAGGATGCAGTGAGCTGTGATGTACCACTGTACTCCAACCTGGGTGACAGAGCAATCCCTATCTCAAAAAAAAAAAAAAAAAAATTCAAATTTCTGAAGGTTTCCTAGGGACGGGACACTAACCCCACTGAGAAGCAGTGCCCTAAGCAGTCACACCCAGTCCCAGAGCTTTCGGCAGAATCTCTTGAGTTAAGCTCATGCACGTTGACCTCTCCATGCTGATGGGTCCCTGAGCTCCAGAATCCTGTCCAACCGCCTGCCTGCTGTCTTCACTGAATATCCCACAAGCATCTCACACTTCACATGTCTACAACAGTTCTTGGTCTTCTCTCTGAAACTCTTGCTCTCTGCTTCCCTGTTTCAGTAAATGACTCTACTATCCACTTAGCCACTTGGTCAGAAACTTAGGAGTCTTGTGGACACACACATACATACATACATGTACACAGATACACACATATACATGAACATACTCTTAGGTGACAAATGTCCATAAGGCCACATTGTCCTAGCTGTCATTTTGAATAACTCTTTTCCACTGATTGTGAGCTCCACCAGGGCTGGATTATTTTCTGTTCATCAGTGTTCCCAGGGTTTAAGAGGGACCTGGTTACCAAGTAGACACTTAATTGTTAAATAAACGAATGAAGAACAGACGAGTATAAGGTGATTGAAACACCTCATTCACCATTTCACTGAATATTAACTGAATCGAAGATAAGGTGGCCATATTTGCATGTGGTCTGTGCATCCCGGAGTCTGAGCCTGCCTAGCTGAAGGGCTGCTGTCAGCCTGCACAGACGTCCTTTAAGGGCTGGTAGACGGGGTTAGGGGAGCTGATGGTTGTTCTCTCCCCCAGGTCTACTCTCCATGGCCAACTCTGGCCCAAACACCAATGGCTCCCAGTTCTTTCTGACATGTGACAAGACAGACTGGCTGGATGGCAAGCACGTGGTGTTTGGAGAGATCACTGAAGGCCTGGATGTCTTGCGGCAAATTGAGGTATGTGGCCAGGAACGGGCCTCCTCCTCACCCAGGCCCTTGGAGCACAGCCCTGTGGGAGGGCTGGAGAGGTTCTGTGACCTCAGAGAGATGGCCAGGGACTGTGTCCGGGGGGAGGGGCTGCTGCTGCCCAGGTTCCAGGGTGGAAGTGGGCAAATGGGCAGGCTGTTGGTGTCCCTAAATCACTGTCAGTCTCCCTCCTCACTTGCCTTATTTCTGTTCTTCCCACAAAGGCCCAGGGCAGCAAGGACGGGAAGCCAAAACAGAAGGTGATCATCGCCGACTGTGGGGAGTACGTGTGAGGCGACATTCTCTCTGCTTCCCCCTCCGTTCTTGCCCCTGCACATCCAGGAAGGAGCTGGCAGCCTCAGAGGAGGCAGCACTGAGGGTGCTTGTTTGAAGCAAGCAGCATTTGTGGTATGAGCACTTCCTCAGGGCCCACTTGGAGCAGCTCCTCTGCGGGTACAGCCTGGACTAGTCCCAAGCACAGCTGTGGGTCCAGGAGCCAGCACAGGTGCACCTCTCCACCATGGGCAGACTATGCAAAAGGCCACTGGCTTTTCTCACCATTTGCTGCTGGGCCTGTCCTGGGCCTACCAATGTGGCTCTTTAGTGTTTTCTTTGCTAAAATAAACCCTAGTTCTTATACTGCTGCCTCCTGCTAGTTCTTGGGAGTTGTCAGAGATTGTCTGTGGCTAAGCTGGGCCCCCGAGGCAGGCTGGTGAGTGAGGAGAGCAGAGCATCTTTCCTGCAGCTTTCGTTTCCTGCCTTGGGCCGATCCCTTTCAATGTCAAGTGATGTATCTTCATGCCAGGCATCCATGTCAGGGCAGTGGAAATTAAAGACAGTGGAAAGTTCCTGTCTTTTGCTGCCTCTGCTCCTCAACCCAGCTGCTGGTCTTACAGCAAGTGTACTCTCAATGGTTCATTTGTTTATTTGTTCACTTTCATCCTACAGATTGTGAAAAATGAAATTTTTATAATTCAGAGTGCCTTCTCTGTGCCAAGTACTATGCCTATTTGTCAGGAGACAGGAGGCCAACAAATTACATGCGCCTAATCCAGCACGCTGCCTGTTTTTGTG